AATATTGTAAATAAAAAAAAGACAATTTCATTTGATAATTTTAGAGTTGTGATTTGTTAAAAACATTAATTTAATCAATTTAATCAAGTAATTTCCCGTTTTTAATTTACATAAAATAATTTTATTAATTTTAATAAACAACACCAAATACGTTGTTTTTATCATCATAAAAGTATTTTTATAAGTTAGTTATTTTCTTAGTTAGTTTTTATTTTTAATTTAATTTCAAATTAAATTTTTCTTGAAAAATTAATTAAGAAAAAATATTTTAAATGAACATTAACACAAAGTTTAATTTATTAAAAGAATGTTTTATAGAGAAAGAAAAAGTAAAAGAATTACTTAAAAATTACATTGAAGAGAATAATGATTACATCGAAGGGAAAGAAGATACTTTTAAAGCTTTATTAGAAAAATTAAATTAAATCTTAGAATTTTATTTACCAGTCTTCATTTCCACCTCCACAGATCTTTGAATACTCTTCACATAGAATTTCTACATCTTCTCTTGCTTCATTAAACTCACCTTCTTCCATTCCTTCTCCTACATACCAGTGAACAAATGCTCTTTTTGAGAACATTAAATCAAATCTATTATTAAGACGAGTCCATGCATCTGCAATGGCTGTTGTATTACAAAGTCCACATACTGCTTTACTTACTGCTGCTACTGCTGAGTTTGGTAATACTGTTGGTTTCTTTGTATTAATTCCTAATTTAAGACCTGTTGGACACCACTCTACAAATTGATTAGCTTTTTTACTTCGTATTTCTGCTAGTGCTGCATTAGCATCTTTTGTCTTCACATCTCCTCTAAATAACATACAACATGCAATAAATTTACCATTCCTTGTATCACATTTTACTAATTGATTTCTTGGATCAAAACAGTTATTAACTATCTCTTGAGTACTTAATCTTTCATGAACTGCTTTGTTTGATGATATTAATGGGGAGTATGAAACTAGTGGAAAATGTATTCTTGGATATGGAACTAAGTTAGTTTGAAATTCAGTTAAGTCTACATTCATTTCTCCTTGGAATCTTAATGATGCTGTTATTGATGAAACTACTTGTGCTACTATTCTATTAATATCGTTATACATTGGTCTTATCATACCAAGATT